AAAAAAAAAAAAAAACAGAACCAAAAAACAAAAAACAAACAAAAAATCCCATGAATTTTGGTTACCATCCTTTTATATAAATGCTTCCAGCTTCCAGCCAAATGCTTTCACCAACAGAGCACAGTTGTGAAAAATAACCATTTGATTTTCCATTTGTTTTTAAAATTCCATCTTCATTCTCCATCTGTAAAATTCCTACCCTCCTTTTAAAGCCCTGGCCTTCACTTCACACAGCCTCCAAAACAGCTCCCCTCCTATATAAAGTTCAGAATGTTTCACTGATGCCTCTCCTGGGTGCCTTTCACATTGCTGTGATGATGGATTTACATCTAGGTCTCCCCAAAGAATTTCCAAGAAGAGACTCAGAATGTCATCGAATATGTTAGCCAAACACTTGACAACTAAAAGAATCATTTTTACTTCTCCTTCAAGGAAAAGTTCTACTAAGCAACAGGGCTTTTTGCTATATCAGTGTCTAAGACTTCACCTAGAATAACATTTAGGGCCCTTTCACTGATTAGAAATAGAATCTATAGAAATTCCACATTAAGTGCTTTCTTTAAAAAAGAAAGTAACTGAAATAATCAGGGGTATTTTGAGAGTAGATAGTAGTTGCAACAAGACTGCCTCTGAGATGCTAATTGTTGAGGCTGAGTGATAACCACTTGGGGAACCATTATAATTCTGTCTGCTACTGCAAATGTTTAATATTTTCCCAAAATTCAAAGGGAGTAAAGGAGAAAAGGACAGAGGGAGGGGAAAGAATGCATAAAAGAAAGGAAGACTCTGCTACACCTTGGCCTACAAATGGATATGTGATGATGATCCTATGTAGTCTTACCTGGGACAGGACTCATGAGGAAACTGTACACTGTTAGCAAACACTTCAATAATCTGAACTATATTTGGGTGTATGGCACACATCATGTGCAGGCGTACCTTAAAGAGAACAGAGGAAATGTTTCTGTACAAAGTGGTGCCAACATTTGCTCTCCAAACTTCCCACCAGAAACTGACCATACTGGGTGCAAGGAATAAGCCTATTTTAGTAAAAAGGCTTTTCACTGGGAATGATGTTGTTTTCACAGATTATCTCCTTAATGCTCTTTCCATAAATAAAATCTCACTAACAGACTTACTTTCTACAATCCTATTAGCAAATGAAAAAAAAAAATTGGGCAAATAACTCATTCCAGAAAACACTCCATCTCTCTAAGCACACAAGTAAATCCCTCACTGCACGCATTAATAGCATATTATCACTGCATCCAGATAATTTTAAATCAATGTATATTTAAAAAAACTAGGAACATCCTCAAGTCCTCCTTCAGCATCACTTTTATATACAACATTCAACTTGTCCTTCCTCAGCCTATTTTATTTCCATCCTTCAAGTGCAATTTTCAATAAGCAAAAACTGAAGTAAACCGAATACGTTAGGGTGATTAGAAAAAAAAAAAGACTCTACTAACAGTTTCCATGTGGACAGATCTAGAATAACTCTATAATGATAACAGGAATAGGACATAAAATGCTTCATGTATCTCTGTATTCTCTCCAGGAAGCTGCCTTAATTGTAAAAGAACAATTCTTACGCACTTCAAGGCAAGTCAAGGCAATACAGGACCATACCTCATTTCTAGCTTTTGGACGATCTAGAAGGATTTTCAGTGCAAACCGTTCTTGGGTAGATTTCTTTACACACACTCTAGATTTGGAGAGAGAGAAAAAAAACAATCAGTGATCATCTATGTTACAGTGAAAATTAATTCCAGAGGCGTCTCACTCTTCTTCCCAGATGCCCAGGTCACAGTTCCTGAATGCATGACATCAACTTGCCACAATGAGCCAATGAAGAAATAGTGGCCTCTCCAGGGTACAAATGACTCTCATAGTGGCTCCACAATCTCCTCATCCCAAATGATTCTGAATTACGCAGCATGTGACTTGGACACTTGATTACATTTTTAGATGCATGAGAGAAAGACCTAACCTCAAGGAGTTGGGGATTTAGCTCAGTGGCAGAATGCTCACCTAGCATGCCCAAGGACCTGGGTTCAATTATTGACCCTGAAAAAAGAAAAAAACCTCAAATAGAAGCTAGGAATGAGGTCAGTGATAGAGCATGTGCTTAGCATGCCTGAAGATCTGATTCAATCTCAGCACCAAAAAACAAAAACAAACAAACAAACAAAAAATCCTCTACTTGTTAACTTAAGGTCATTTCTCCAATCTGGCATATCTGATACTTCTAATTCAGAAATATTTCAAATGGTCCTGCTCAGAACAAAGTTGGCACAATTCTCACATGGATCTCTTACCTAACTGGACCACTGATTCCAGCTCCCAGCTTCTGAGTCCAATTGATATTGTATTCTTCCAAAATGGAGGTCTCCTATTAAAATTAAAAAGAGAGGGCAGAGAATGATTCCCCAATTAAAAAGCTGAATAACTAAGCAGAGGTGGGACAACAGAACTAAGATTCAACATCTCATCTTCTAAGAGAAAATATAGGTTATAATTACACATTTTACTTTAAATGGTTCATAGTCATTGCTTTCTAGTAAGGCACAGATTTTGGAATAAACAAATCATCCAGCTCTCTACAAGTTTTATTCAAGTAGACAATCATTGCTTTTTTGAATTGGGAGGAAAGGTTCTTTCAATTTGGAGCTATAGGTAAGTGGTAGAGTGTTTGTCTTGCATATCCAAGAACCTAGATTTAGTCCCCAGCACTACAAAAGAAAAATGAAGCAATTACTCAAGTGTATTTTCTATGATTTCAGAAAGACTGTCAGGTATTATTATACTATAGAGACCTATATCCTTAAATAGTTGTTCAAGTCGCAGAACTGAAAATAAGTTGTTGGACCAATTCCCCACAATACTCACCATTGTGCATTCTACCTGACAGCCAGGAAAGCTCAACTTGGAGACTCTGACCAAGTTTTGACACTTGATTTCATAGCAGTAAAACAAGCACTGCCAGACCTCTTTATATTCCTGATTTTGAATCCTATTTTTCTTATACCTCCTATCTGCCCCAGGTCTAATTCATGCATCTTTGTTGATGGTGCCACAAACACTAGTCAATGCAAAAATTTCATTAAGTCAACACATTCACACCTCTCAACTAAACTGTGTGTAGTTGGTACATTTTCTCACATATTTTAGTAACAAAGACAGGAAAGTATGGATCAGTTAAAACACTTTATTGGCCAAGCTCAGTGGCACAAGTCTGTAATCTCAGTGACTCAGGAGGCTGAGATAGGCGGATGTTAAGTTTGAGGCCGGCCTCAGCAACTTAGCAAGACCCTGTCTCAAAATTAAAAAAAAAAAAAGGTTGGGGGTATATATCAGTTGGTAGAGTGTCTCATGTTCAATCCTCAGAACCAAAATAACACAATAAAATAAAACCCACCTTACTAAAGGAAATTAAGGACTAATTCTTTTTTTAATATTTATTTTTTAGTTGTAGTTGGACACAATACCTTCATTTTATTTGTTTTTTTATCTGCTGCTGAGGATCAAACCCAGGGTCCCACACGTGCTAGGCGAGCGCTCTACCACTGAGCCACAACCCCAGCCCAAGGACTAATTCTTTAAAGACATCAACGACAAACATATTGGCTCAGTTTTACTAAGAAATACTTTCATTACCTTAAATTAACATGAATATAAACACCTGAAATAACTTTGGAGAGTGCTCCTAGGCCAAGGGTGAGCAAATTAAGACTCTTGGGAAAATTCAGCCACTGCCTGATTTTATAAAGATAAGTTACTAGCACACAGCCACATCTACTTCAGTATAGTCTGTGGCTGTTTTCACACTGCAACTACTGAGCTAAAGACTGTGATAAAGGGCTGTGGCCGTGGCTCAGTGGTAGAGTGCTCACCTAGCATGGTTGAGGCACTGAGTTGGATCCTCAGCACATAAGTGTAAAGATATTGTGTCCACTTAAAAAAGTAAAAAATAAATATTAAAAAAAAAGAACTGTGATAAAGAGACTCTATGGCCATGAGGCCTAAAACACTTCCCAGGCGACCCTTTACAGAAAAAGCTTGCTTTTCCAGATCATGTTCTAGACCTTGGTTCTCAACAGTAATTGCCCATCACAATCACCTGAGGGGTTTGTTGATGTTGTTTTGTTTTGTTTTTAAACTATCCAAAGCCAAGGTCCTTCACAAGAGATTCTAATACAACAGACTTGGGATGGAGGCTAGGCATTGATATCCTACTCCCACTTTTGTCTCTATCTGATGTGGACCTTAGGCATTCTCTGAAGTTCAACAGGTAGGAAAAAAAGGAAATTCTTGTGTTCACAGCATGAAGAGGTAGGCAATTCCTTGCCACAAAGAATATATTTAAAATTAAGACAAAGCTGTCAAAAACAATGACTTCTGGACAACGTAAACCAAACAAACTGAGTAGGACATATTCTTAAAACTCCTCTAGGGGTCCACGTAATAACCCCCTTCCAGCCTGGTTTCTAGAATCCCCTACCCTTTGATTCTCACTGCCTAAAGCACAATCAGTTGGTGATGATGCTAGTTTCTCAGCAGCTGGCTATGAAAATTAGTGGTTTTGCGGCCCTAGGGGGTAGACTGTTTGGAGCAGGAAGAAAATTCATGGCGCTACCAACTAAAAGTGGTGAATGTTGGTAGGAAGGGGTAGTTTTGCTAGCCCAAGACAAAGATCCTTGTTAGGTATGCAGAACATCCAGAGATTAAATGAGAAAACACTGACATAGAGCTACAGAAAGTCCAAGACAAGCCCTCCAGAAACCTTGACTGACTGGGAAACTACACATGGACTAGTTGAGACTTGAGGAGGCCAGGGAAAATTGAAAGCCCAAGGAGAACTCAGAACTGGTTGTAATAATCTGTTTTGGTTTTTTCCCCCCCCTGATACTGGAGACTGAATCCAGGGTCTCACCCATGCTAGGGAGTCACTCTACCTCTTCATTTTGAGACAGTCACACAAAGTTGCCCAGGCTGGTTCAAACTTGCTACACTCCTGCCTCAGCCTCCTAAAAACCTGGGGCTACAAGAATGTACCACCATTCCTGGCATCAGTTATAATCTTGGAGCATTTCTCTAAGACAACACACAAGTTGATCAAGAGACTAAAAACCTTAGAAGCTCAAAGTATTTCAAGACCACTGTCAAAATCACAGGCTGACAACCAAGGTAAACACCCATAAATAGAACCCACCAAAAGTCTGGCTAACAAAACAAATGAAATTAAGAATTTAAAAATTTGAGGGCTGGGGTTGTGGCTCAGCGGCAGAGAGCTTGCCTAGCACATGCGAGTCCCCAGGTTTGATCCTCAGTACCACATAAAAAATAAGTAAATAAAATAAAGGTATTGTGTCCAACTACAACTAAAAAGTACATATTAAAAAAAATTTGAGCAGAGGGCTGGAGATGTAGCTCAGTGGCAGAGCACTTGCCTAGCATGTGTAAGGCACTGGCTTCAATCCTAAGCACCACATAAAAATTAACAAATAAAATAAAGGCATGCTGTCCATCTATAACTATAAAAATAAACTTTAAAAAAATAGAAATAAAAACTAAGCAGAGACATCAGCATACCACAGGGAAGATACATTTCATTTAATCTAGGCATTACTAAATATAACAAGCTACACATAAATATGCAAAAAAATATATAAATATGCGAAAAAAAACTCTGAAAACTAAAAACCACTGCTAAGTGAAACTGAAGAAGTTTTAAAGAAATACAGAGCTATAGCCAGGCATGATGCCACATGCCTGTAACTCCAGCAGCTTGGGAAGCTGAGGCAGGAGGATCTCAAGTTTAAAGCCAGCCTCAGCAAAAGCAAGGCACTATGCAATTCAGTGAGATCCTGTCTCTAAAAAAAAACACAAAATAGGGCTGGGGATGTGGCTCAGTGGTTGAATGCCCCTGAGTTCAACCCCTGATACTTACTCTCCACCTCAGAAAAAGAAAAAGAAATAGAGAGCTATACCATGTTCATGGATAGATGGCAGTTGTCCCCAAACATCAAAATCCCAGGAGACATTTCTGTAGAAATTGACAAGTTGATTCAAAACTTTTTTGGAATTAGAAAGAACTCAAATAGCCAACACAATTTTGAAAAAAACAAGCTGGTTTTCATATTACTTAATTTGAAAGCTTACTTCATTTCAGTAATCAAATCAGTATAGTACTGGCAGAAGTAGATCATATTGATCAACATTATAGATCTGAGAATGCATAATACATACGTATGACCAACTGATTGTCAGCGAAGATGGCAAAGTAATTCAATGGGCAAAAGAGAGTCTTTAGAAGAACTGCTCCTGATTCCTCAGGAATGGAACCACCATTTGACCCAACTATTCACTCCTTGGTCTATACCTAAAGGACTTAAAATCAGTATACTATAGTGCAAGGCCCTATAGTGACATAGCCACACCAATGTTTATAGCAGCTAAGTTCACAATAGCTAATCTGTGGAACCAACTTAGATGCCTATCAATAGAAGAACAGATAAAGAAACTGTGGCATATATACACAATGGAATATTACTCAGCATTAAAAGAGAATAAAATTATGACATCTGCAGGTAAATGGATGGAGTTGGAGAATATTATGCTAAGCAAAGTAAGCCAATCCCCCAAAACTAAAGGCTGAATGTTTTCTGATTAGTGAATGCTGATCTATGATGCTGGGGCATGGGAAGAATGGAAGAACTGTGGACTGGGCAAAGAGGAGGGTAGGGAGGGGTTATGAGGGTAGGAAAGATGGTGGAATCAGATGGATATCATTACCATGTATGATGGCACAAATGGTGCATCTCTACACCGAGTACAACCAGAGAATTGAAATGTTGCACTCCATTTGTGTATGATGAATTGAAGTGCATGTTGCTGTGAAAAACAACTAAGTAGAACAAATAAAAATAAATTTTAAAAAGATAAAGAACAACAACTGCTCCTGGAACAACTGGATATCCATGTGAGGGGGCTAGGGCTAGGGTTGTGACTTAGTGCTAGCATGCGTGAGGCACTGGGTTTGATCCCCAGCACCACATAAAAATAAACAAGTAAATAAAGGTATTGTGTCCATCTACAACTAAGAAAATAAAAAAATAAAAAAGTGAGAGGCCAGCTGGGCATAGTGACGCACACCTGTAATCCCAGCAGCTTGGGAGGCTGAGGCAAGAGGATTGTAAGTTCAAAGCCAGCATCATTAAAAGCAAGGTGCTAAGCAATTCAGTGAGACCCTGCCTAAATAAAATACAAAATAGGCCTAGAGATGTGGCTCAGTGGCCTAGTGCCCCTGAATTCAATCGTCAGTACACACACACACACACACACACACACACACACACACACACACAAAAGTGAGGCTGCCAGGCATATTGCTCAATGGCAGAGTGCTAGTCTGGTGTGCATGAGGCCCTGGGTTTGATCTCTAGCATGAAAAGGAAAGGAAAAAAGAAAGAAGGAGGAAGGGGCAGAGAAAAGGGGAAGAAAGGACATACAGGAGAAAAATCTAGTAACCCTGGATTAGGCAAGGATTTCTTGAGTAAGAAATCTTACATGTCTGGATAAACACAATCCATAAGAGAAAAAATTCTGCTAAACTGGACTTCATCAAAATTAATTTGCTCTTGAAATATAACATTAAAAATGACAAGAGAGAGTTTGGCAATGTAGTTTAGTGGCAAAGTCCTTAATTATCATGCACAAAGTCCTGGGTTCAGTCCCTAGCACCTCAAACAAGTACATCAAAAAAGTGAAAAGATATATGTAGACTGGTAGAAAATATCTGCCAATCATATATCTGAAAAATGACTTTTATTCAGTTTATAAGGAACTTCAAAATCTCAATAAGACAAACATCCCAAGTTAAAAATGGGCAAAAAGGGGCTGGGGATGTGGCTCAAGTGATAGTGTGCTCACCTGGCATGCATGCGGCCCAGGTTCGATCCTCAGCACCACATACAAACAAAGATGTTGTGTCCACCGAAAACTAAATAATAAATATTAAAAATTCTTTTAAAAAAATGGGCAAAAAGATCTGAATACAGTTCACAAGAAAAAAACTCAAAAATGACAAAGTGGTATATAAAAAGATATTCAACCAGGTTGGAGTCGTGGCTCAGTGGTAGAGTGCTTGCCTGGATATGTAAGGCCCTGGGTTGGATCCTTAGCACCACATTTAAATAAATAAAAAGATCCACCGACAACAACAACAAAAAAATTTTTAAAAGATAGTCAACCATATTAGAGTATACTCTACTATATGCTCCGAGTATACTCAAAGTATATAAAAAACTCTTACAACTGAATAAGACAACCTGGTTTTAAAATGCACACGAGATTTGAATAGACTTTTCACCAGAAGAGACACACAAATGGCAAATGAGCACACGAAAAGATACCCAACATTATCAGTCATTTCAGAAATCTAAATTAAAACCAAAATGAGAAACTACCACATACTCACCAAAACAGTTAAAATAGAAAATTTATAAGGCTAAATATTTGTTACAATGATCAAAGAACCAGAACTCTCAAACAGTCCTGGTGTAAACGTATAATAATGACACAACCATTCTGGAAAACAGTTTGACAATTTCTTTAAAAATTAAACGTAAAGGCTGGGGTTGTGGCTCAGTGGCAGAGTGTTACCTCGCATGTGTGAGGCACTGAGTTCAGTCCTAAGCACCACATGAAAATAAACAAACAAACAAATAAAAGTACTGTCTCCATCTACAACTAAAAAAAATATTTTTAAAAAATTAGGGCTGGGGATGTGGCTCTAGTGGTAGCACGCTCGCCTAGCATGCATGAGGCACTGGGTTTGATTCTCAGCACCACATAAAAATAAAATAAAGATATTGTGTCCACCTAAAACTAAAAAAATAAATATTAAAAAAACTTAAACATAAACTGCCATGCTAGCCAGGAATTCTATACCAAGGTGACAAACCAAAAGAAATTAAAACACACGATCACATAAAAATGTGTACAGTTTTATCATTTCATTACTAACAGCTAAAAACTGAAGCACTCTAAATGTCCATGAACTGGGAATGGATAAAAAAGATTAATAGGGCTGGGGTTGTAGCTCAGTGGTAGAGCACTTGCCTTGTATGCATGAGGAACTGGGTTCAATCCCCAGCACCACATAAAAATAAATAAAATAAAGATACTGTGTCCATCTACAACTAAGAAAAACAATTTTAAAAAGGACTAGTAAAAAGGCTGCTACTCAACAAGAGAAAGGAATGAAATACTAAAATATGTGCTAACAGAGACAAACCTCAAAAGTGTTCAGCTAAGAAGCCAATAAGGATTACATATTGTAAAGTTTTATTAATTTAGAATTTCTAAAGACAGCAAACTACAGTAATATGAATTTTATTTATTTTGGGGGGGGGTACGAGGGATTGAACTCCGGGGCACTCAGTCACTGAGACACATCCCCAGTCCTATTTTGTATTTTATTTAGAGACAGGGTCTCTCTGAGTTGCTTAGGGCCTCAGTAAGTTGCTGAGGCTGGCTTTGAATTCACCATTCTTCTGTCTCAGCCTACAAAGCACACTAGTGATTGTCTGGGATGAGAAAGAGGAGCAAGGACTGACTACCAACAGGCAGAAGGAACTTCCTATAAGTGAGGTGGAAATGTTCTAAACTGAATTCTGATATGGCTCAAGAACTCTCTAAATTTTTTAAGAAGGAATGAATACACTGTCATTGGAATTTTACAATATGCAAATTATATAGCTTTTCAAAATATTTTTTAAACCAAGGAAATGAATTTTCACTAAGTTCATCACATATTAGCAATTCCTATATACAACAGTAGGTAATATGTAAGAATCTGTAATCCAAAGATTCTCATTCTGAGGTATAGCTAAATGTCTTAGAAGAGTGAAGTCATACAGCTATGGGAATAATAACAGAGGTGGGATAACAGAGCCCTCAGATGTAAGAACTCAGTATTGGTCTAACATTTTAAGAGTAATAGGACAATGGGTCTGGGATTATGGGTCAGGGGCAGAGTGCTTCCTAGCATGTGTGAGGCACTGGGTTCAATTCTCAGCACCACATAAAAATAAACAAATGAGGGCTGGGGATGTGGCTGAAGCGGTAACGCGCTTGCCTGGCATGTGTGAGGCTCTGGGTTCGATCCTCAGCACCACATAATAAATTCAAAACATGGAAACAGACCCAAAGGCTCTGATTTGATGTTCTGTTAGCTTGCTTCCCAAGGAGTACATCTTAGTCACCACTGGTTGTCAAACAAAATTGTGTTGGTTTGACAAGTCCAGATTAATAGGAAGACTGATAAATGGGGTAATAGTCAACAAGAAAACTACAACTACACTTCAATTTCTATGAGCTAATATTCATCAAGCTCTCCCTCTTAATTATTTCTATAAGCTCATTTAGGTATATCTGCCCATTTAATCCTCTAAATATTTCTGTGAGCTGGGGAGTGCTTTTATCTCCTTTCTACAGACAAAAAACTAAGGGATAGAGAAGTGAAGTGACTGACATAAGGATATATAGCTAATAAGTGGCAAGACTGGGATTTTAACTCCTGATTCTAACCTGAAAAACTATTAACAACCATTAACATTGCCACCCCAATTATATAACTGTCCACTAAAACTATGACACTTTTCTGCTCAAAACTCTCCCAAAGCTCCCCTCCTAATGGCCTGCAAGGCCCTAAATGCTCTGCTTCCCATTACTTTTCCTCTAAAATCACCCACAATGACCCACGGAATCCCAGTACCTTGCTCTTCCTACATCACACTGGCTGCTTCTACTTCAGGACCTTTGTACTTGCTATTCCTACTGCTTGTAATAGTCTTCCTTGAGACAATGGTGGCTTGCTCTCATTTCCTTCAGAGTATGAACAAGTACTACCTTCTCAGAAACACCTTTCCTGACCAGTCAAAATAGTACTACTCATCCTTTCTATATTTCTTAATTATAAATACCTGGCAATGTTTATTACCTAAATACACCATCTAAAACATAAGCTCCAGGAGAGCAGGGACAGCTAAGAATCTGGCTCATACTACTTGTGCCTGCACCTGACACAAAAGCAAATACTTGTTGAATGTAAAAATCCACCATATATGTTGTGGTGCACAACCCAAATATATAACTTCAGGCAGCAAATCATAACTATAAAATCTGAACCAAAAGAAAAAAAAATGAGTCTGCAAGCTTTTTTTCTTTGGGGGTACCAGAGATTGAACTCAGGGACACTTGGCCATTGAGCCACATCCCCAGGCACTTTTTTTTTTAATGTTTATTTTTTAATTTTAGGTGGACATAATATCTTTATTTTTATGTGGTGCTGAGGATCCAACCCAGTGCCTCACGCATGCCAGGTGAGCATGCTACACTTGAGCCACATCCTGAGCCCTGGTTTTTTATTTAGAGATGGAGTCTCACTGAGTTACTTAATGCCTTGCTTTTGCTGAGGCTGGCCTTAAACTTGAGATCCTTCTGCCTCAGCCTCCAGAACCACTGGGATTACAGGCATGCGCCACAGCGCCAGCTCAGAGCAGTCTTTTTGTACACATTTATTATTTAAAATTTGATCTTCCTTAATGTATGCGTTTCTAATTGATACCTCCTTTAAAAGATTAAGTTTCTTTGGAATGATAGATGAATTCTATAAAAACATCTCAAGGCTGGGGTTGTGGCTCAGTGGTAAAGTGCTTGCCTCACATGTGTGAGGCACTGGGTTTGATTCTCAGCACCACATATAAATAAATAAGATAAAAGTCCATCAACAACAGTTGATGGAGCTGGACACAGAGGCAAACGCCTGTAAACCTAGCAGCTCAGGCAGGAGGATGGTGAATTCAAAACCAGCCTCAGCAACATAAAAAAAGCCAGAAGCAACTTAGCAGACCTTGTCTCTTAAATAAAATATAAAAAAGGGCTGGGTATATGGCTCATTGGTTAAGTGTCCCTGGGTTCAATCTTCAGTACCAAAAAAAAAAAAGAGTTGTTGGTAACAGTAACTGTATAAAGTATCTTGAAGAGGGGAAAAAAAAAAATCCCAAATCTAGGAAGAGATGCTTTTCCCTCAAGGGAAATTAAATTCCTCAATACACTGGGCTGGCTTAACATTGTAAAATAAGTAATACATCAAACGTTAAGCTTCAGTGTTCAGTTTACATAACTAATTTCCTGCTACAGTTGACAAGACAGATGACCGGCCTTTAGTGTGGAAAGTTTGCCTGTTAAAAGTGAAGGAATAAAAATTAAAAAGTAGGTTCAGAAAACTTTATCATTTTATTTGGGTCATTTTAGAACACTCTTACAGTTTGTGCTTTTCTCTTGGATAACAGAGCACTATGACCTAAGACACACTGATAGCTCTTCCTAAACAATTTCAGTGCTCCCTAGGGAAGAAAAAATAAGGGGAGGAGAAAGCACAGAAAAGAACAAACTATTCCCCCAAAGGGCAGGTTCTGTAGTAAGACAAACCACTTTCTTCTGAAACTGCAGATTTCCAAGAGGCCGACTTCTGTCAACAGCATCGGGAGGGGTGGGTAAAAGGCAGCTCTCCAGATGTTGTTGCAGCAGACCACTTGGAAACAAATGCTGGAGCCATCTGGGAGGGATGGAAATGCAGGCCCTCCGCGCCACTCAACTTCATTCTAGCCGAGTGCAATCTCATTAACCAGGGAAACTGGAAGGAGTCGGGCATCCCGCCATACACGGGTGCGCGCGCGCACACACACACACATACACACACACTTTGCCCCAGGGCTGTCAAACGTGCTCCAAGAAACCTCTCACTCCGAACTCTCTCCACCTTCTTAGGCTGGAGTCGAGAAAGCCACAGTGAAGAAGCGAGGGAGGAGGTGGCTGCCCCCGTTTACCTTGATGGCTTTCTCCATGTCGTTCTCTTCCGACATGGTTCGCAGGGCCCCCGCAGCCAAGAGCGGTGGAGGCTGCGCAGCTGCCGGGTCCCCTAGCAGCGGAAGGAGCAAAGGGCTGAGAGCTCGCGACCCTGGACCTCGGGGAGTCGGGCAGCAGCCGCTAGT